GGGCCTCTGGCGCCCCAGCCGAGCTCTCACAGTGCCATGATGATAGCTGCAATGGGTCCTTGGCGTCGTGTCCATCGTCGCGATGCAGGTACCTCAAGCATCCTGAAGTACATTTTGGGCCACGCGCGTCGCACTTGTGCACGAAGGTCGGGGCTGCGAGCCCAGCAGCTGAACCAGTTGGAAAACGGCGTCTTCGCAATGGTGCAGGTTGGGTATGTTCCCTCCAAGCCGAGGAAGAAGGTAGTCAGACAGCGCCCTGGCCAAGGTCGACGTAGTGCTTATGCGTGCCGTCGTCGCGTTGCTCGTAGTGTTGCGGGCGCCAGGCCGTGGAATGCGGCGCCATACTTTGTGGGTGCCATCGCGCCTTGCTGCGCTAGCCTGGCCTTTGTCGTGGTGTGGAGTCTCTTGGGCTTGGTCCGCACTGCCCCCAGTTGGCGCCTTGCTGCTGTCCGTCTTGCTGCACTGGTCGCTCGTCGGGCGGCGCCGCGCGCTGCTCGGTCTGCCCCCAGGTCGCGGCCTCCTGTGGATGCCTGCACGTCGATGCCGAGATCGCGGAGTTGGCGTTGGATTGTCCTAGTATATTTTGTGCGCGTGGTCATCAGTGTGGTTGTATCTGCCAGACGGAGCCCGTGTTCCTGTAGTGCCAGGAAGAGGCTGTGGGTGGTGGTCACGGTGGCAGCGGTGATCTGGGACCTGATGCCTGCAATGTGGATGCTGCTGTCATCGAACCAAGCGCGCGGTCGAGGTCGAGGTATTGTGCTTGTATCGGTAAGCTTGGCCATCGCCGCGCATACAACAGTGCGCGCTACGTTGTTGGCATGTCGTGGGCCTGCCAAGATGGAGCGGTCTGCGTAGAGCGGTTTGGAGTACGACCCATGTCGCCGTAGCATTCGTGCTGCGGAGTGTTGCAGCAGCATAAGGTAGAGTGGCCGCGGAGCGCGGCTGGGATGGACTTGTCGATCCGAAAGGTGCCGTAGAACTTCCCGATGCCCGCCGGGAGGATGGACCCGGTCATTTTGAAGATGTCGGCGCACTCGTCGGCGATGAGTCGTCCTTGCGCCTCGTGCAGGCAGCTGTTGCCCGCGATGGCAGCATCCCTTTCACGCTCTTGGTCTGCAGCCCATTGGCGGACTCGGTCTCTGTGTAGTAGCTCCCAGCATCGGAAGAGTTGTGGAAGTAGCGCCAGCGCACGGTCTCCTTTCTTCGGCCCCGGGGTGATCATGACGATGGATAGCAGCAGGTGCCATGGCCGCGTCAGTCGGTGCTCGCATAAGTTGAAGAGGTCGATGACTGCCTGGCGCCCTGGTCGTGGAAGGCGTCGTATGTCGCTGCACCTGATGACGTCGACGCCGCGTCCCTTGTCGGGCTCCCCTTTGAGGCGGCGGCCGAGGTCCTCTACGGTCCACGGCGGTGTGGGGTCGTCGCTTCGCGCTCGTTCTCGGAGCGCTGCTAGTAGCGTTGGGTGCTGGAGGTGTGGGATGTCGCTGCATGTCCAGGTCTCGTTGAAGTCCGCGGCCTCGGCGTCGACGATTTCGAGCGGGCTGCTTAGTACTTCGCCTTGAATCACAACTTCCTGCTCCAGACGCGGCGCTGGTTTGGCGATCTGGCGCGGCACTTCAGGCGTCGTGCTGGCCGCCGCGAGCCGCGCGCTGTAGTCGCGTTGGCTGATGCGCAGAACAAGCGGGAGGGCGTTGATCTTCTCGCCCTGCGCTCGTTGTGCCCTGCCCTGGAGTGCGTCGGTTGGGGTGTCTTCGAGGTTGTTGAGTCGTTGTTTCCAATGTCGGTGGCGCAGTCGTGCCGAGTCCGATGCTCGGCGTCCGAGTGGTGGCAGTCCTTCATGTGCCGCGCGTCGTCCTGCGGCGCGTAGACCTGCGCGGTTGTTGTTATCCGCGTGCTCGCTGTCGTGGCTTGACCAGTGTGCTGGGGATGTTCTCCGTGCGGCCCGTCCAGTCGGATCTGTGGGGTGCGAATCGTTGTTGGTGGTCGGGCTTCCGTAACAGTTGCGACTTGAATGCGTATGCCTGTCCGCGTCCGAGGAAGTGGTGGCGGTCTTCCAGTGGGATGTGGTGCGCGACGCTGTAGAACGTCTCGAGCGTGCTGATGAGGTGTTGGCATGTCGCGCCTAGCTGGTCGGCGTTGCCGGGGTCGACCTGGTGGGCGGCACAGTCCTGAATGTAGGGCGGGGCTGTGCTGGCGGGGCCGTGGTGCATCATGTTTGCTACATCCCACGCATCGCCCATGTTGTTGGCGTCGGTCTCGAGCGATCGTGCATTAAGCCGATCGAGTAGCGGTATCTGCCGCGGCGCCCTTTGAGCGCCTGTGCAGCCCATGTCATCGTTCAGCTCCGAATGCGGCTCCACGGCGGTGCTCTCCATGCTGCTGCCATCGGCCCTTGGAGCCTCGGTGGCGCCCTGGAGGTGGACCACGTCGTGGGCGTCGTCAAAGCGGCGGCAGGGTAGCTGGCCGTCGCGACGCAGGGCGCACTCGCTAAGGCCATCGTCCACGAAGTCGAAAGGGTCGCCGCCATCTTCGCTCATCGCGCTGCGTCGTGGCGGTGGCGCTGCGGTAGGGATGGGCGCGGATGCTGCGGCTGGGTGGCGTTGCCATCCGTGCGGCCCAAGCGTTTCCCATCGTGCTGAGTCCTCGGCGTCTTGGTCGACTGGCGTCGTAGTTATGGGCGTAGTCGTGGTGCTCCGCTGTCTTTTAGTCTGCTTCGTCGTCTTGGTCTTTTGGGGCTGCGTTGGGCGCGGGAAGGCCTCCGGTAGCTGTAGTCGCCGGCTTAGGTCGCAGTCCACGTCTATTTTAATAGCGATTTCGAGCCCGATGTGCGGTTTCCAAGGTACGTCGCGAACTGGTTGGATTCCTCGCGCGAATCGTTGCCCGCCGTCGTTGTTTAACGCGTAGTCGATGTTGGAGGGCGGGGCGTCGCCGAGGGAGCAGGTGCGCTGGTCGTCGTCGAGCCCGACGTATGTAGCACCGAGGGCGATTTTCCGTTCTGATTGCACCATGTCTTCGCACGGCCTGCTGAAATTGTCGCAGAGAATCCACGGTGCGCGCGTAGTACTGAGGAACGCGGCCAGCGGCGTTAACTGCCTGGAGTTCTCGCCGCTGGTGGTGGAGTGGGACGGGCCCAGGTAGATGGAGATGGTGAGGGGCTGGGAACCGCGCGTGTGCAGAGTGATTGGCGCCCAGTCGCACATGCTGAAGGCGTCGTGCTGCAAGCTGTTGGCGCCTGATGTGGTTGCGCCCGAAACTGCAGCACGCGGTCGCCGGCGTCGGTGCGACGTCGCCTTGAGGCGGCCCTTGACGAGGACACCTGCGCCTCCGCAAGTGCTTATCTCGCTTCTGTCGCTTGCCCGCGCTGCTGTGAACACTGCTGAGAAGCCCGCCTTCTGCAGCTCATGCCCCTTGCTGTCGAGCTCGTGGTGGGCCAGGTGGGTCTCCTGCAACGCGTGGACGTCGCGCGGCTGCTGTACTCCGTCGCGGCGAAGCCAGCTCGTGACCGTCGGGCCCCGCCGAGTGATGCATGCGCTGAAGATATGGCGCTCGAGGTGCGAGTCGTCGCCAAACTGCCTCACCCCACCGCGCCGCGACCTTCAACGGGTCGCGGGGGCCTCCGAGGAGGCCGCCGCGGTCCGCCGCTGTTGGAGGTAGTCCTCTGCGGGGTCCTTCTCCTTCATCTCCATGTGCTCGTCGCCGCCGGCTGCTGCTGGAGGAGTTGTGGCTGCGGCTGCTGCTGGTGGTGGTGCTGCTGGTGCTGCTGCCGCCGCTGCCGAGGAGTCTGCCTTCCTCTTCTTGCAAGCCTGTTGGCTCCCGGCCCTCTCCTGCTCCGCCTTCTGCTTCGCCGCCTGGAGGTGCTGCTTCAGCTGGCCCGCGAACTCCTTGGTGTTCCTCTGCAGCTGACGCAGCACCTGGCGCTTGCGTCGTCGACGGCCTTGCGACCCTGCTCGTCCAGATCGTCTGAGTGCGCGAACTCTTGCTCCACCTCGGCGATCTGCACGTCACTCGGCGAGAGCAGGTCCGCGCCCGTGTCGAGCAGCTGCACGAAGATGCTCCGCTGGCTGGCGTTCGGCTTGCCCTCCTGCTGGGTATCCTCGATCTCTCGCTCGGCCTTCACGACCGCGTCCGCTCTCTCCTTCAGGGCGGCCTTGGCATTGGCGGCCTTTTGCTGTGCGATCTCCGCCTGTCCTTGGCGCCTCCTGGAGCGCATCAGCGACGCCCGCGAGCTGTTTCGCGATGGCGTCCCCACTGGCGAGCTTCAGTGTGTCGATGGACTCCTTGACCGTCTTGACAGCGGTTGCCAACTGGGCGACGCCACCATCCTTGGCGTCGCCGCTGCTGGAACCACCTCCGCCACGGGGTCTCATGCTGCGCTCGCCGATGGACTTTTGCTGCTTTTGCTGCTGCTGCTGCTGCTGCCACCAGTTCGACTGCTGCTGCTGCTGCGGCTGCTGCCCCTGCTGCGGCTTGCCCGTCTTGGGCCTGGCCAGGCGGCAGCCGCAGCTGCACCAGTAGCCGTTGTGCTCGAGGGTTGTGTGCCACCGCCAGGTCTGGCACTTTTTGCAGGTCGTCCATGCTGCCCTCGAGGCGGGCGATGTCCTTTTCCCTTCTCAAGCGGCGGCGGGACTCTGCCCGCCGTCGCCTCTCTCGGCGATGCCACGCGGGCGAGCGCGATCGCGGCCGCGCGACCGTCCCGCAGCTGCCGCCCCTCTCTCGGGGGCTGGGGTCGTGGTCTGTCGGGCCGCTGACCCAAAATGGGGCGCCTCGGACCACAACGCCTGGAAGGGGAAGGGGGAGGAGGACGAGGACGAGGACGAGGACGAGGACGCGGACGAGGACGAGGAGGAGGAGGACGAAGAGGAGGTGGTGGAGGAGGAGGAGGAGGAGGAGGAGGAGGAGGAGAGGAAGAGGAGGAGGAGGAGGAGGAAGAGGAGGAGGAGGAGGAGGTTGTGAAACAATCGCGACGTCGGGGGTCTGAGTGTAGAGGTGCCTGCACAGAGGAGCTGGTCCAATCACAGACTGGGGATGCGCAGGCCCTGCCGGCCCTGCTCGGGCTGACGCCCAGCCCGCTGGAGGTCCTGGCGGCCGCAGGCCGCGCGAGCGGAGGCAACCTGTTGCACCTGGTCTGCAAGCTCCGCCGCGTGGACGTGTTCAAGTGCCTGCTGGGGATCGCGGACGGGGTGTGGACGGAGATGGCGAAGGAGAGAGACGGTGATCGGGGGCGAACACTGTCAAGACGCCTAGGTAATGGGGGAACGAAGAATGACATAAGCATCAAAACTCCTGAGGTCCTCGCGGACCTCCGAGTTGTTATGCTTATGCCATTGTTCGTTCCGCTGGGTAAGGACTGGATCACGTGGGGCGCAGGAGGGGCTCCGGGAATCGGGCCGCTCCCTGGAGCGGCGCCGTGGAATCCGCGCGCGGCCGAGGCTCGCCGTGGCCAGCAAAGCTCCTTCGTTTCTCGCTCAAGGGTCGCGGCGCGAGCCTCCTCCTCCTCCTCCTCCTCCTCCTCCTCCTCCTCCTCCTCCTCCTCTGTCGCAGATCCGCGCCCCTCTCTCCGCTGACACGCTGAGCGCCGCGGACCGGCGTCCTGCCCGCCTCCTCCTTTGCGGGGCTTCAGGGGCGGGGGTCGGTGCAAACGGGTGTCAGCCAGAGCGCCGGACCTTGCAGGATCCTGCAGAGCTAGGTTCGCACTGACCCGGGCTTGGGCACAGGATCCTGCAGGATCCTGCAGGATCTTTCGCATCGACTCGGGTTTGGGCGCAGGATCTTGCAGGATCCTGCAAGGCCTGACTGACCTGGGTCTGGATTGATCTGGGTCAGTCGTAGCTGGTGTTCTGTTCGGGCGACGGCAGCTCCAGTCAGTGGGACGGGGCGGGGGGTGGGGGCGTCCCCCAGTACACATCACCAAACCAGGTCCCACGAAACCCAGTTCTGCCAACGCCCGACTGGAGGCCTCTTAGGGGGCCTAGGGGCCGTCTCGGTTTCTGGACGTTCCCGACGGCTTTTCTAATTCAGCCGCGTATCTTTGCATTACATCACGTGTTAAGTGTGTTTTCTTTATTGTGTCGCCCATTTCTTTTCAACGGTATATATATATATATATATATATATGTTTGTTTGTTTATTTGGTTAGTCTCATCCTTTTTGGCTCAATGTTTCGCTAATGTTCTGCCCCCGCCGTGAGCGGGCGATCGCTCTTTACCCAGACTAATCAGAAAGCACGCAGTGGTTCTAGCGAACTACTCCCAGAGCGTCACTGCAACGCTGCTCTGGAAGCTACCCCCAAACGCCTCAGACTCAGGCGTAATCCTTGCAAGCCTTCCCGAACGCCACCAGGCGGTCCTCCTTCTTGGTCACGAACCAGTACTGGTACTCACGAACGTACTGCATCACATCAGATCGACGAACGTGTCGAGGTTTCGCCCATTGCTTGTAGTTGCCGAAGAAGCCGTCCATGTATTGCGTCCCTCCCCATACCTTCTTCCCGTCGATATTGAACATCTTCGTCCACTCTTCCTTCCCATGAACGACGGCGATCTGCTTCGCTCGATTGCCGAAGATCTTCCTCTTGTTGACAAGGGAATCGTACGTAGCAGCGGAGTCGCTGGAAAGAATGCCAGACTTGAAGTGCTTAGTCAAGAACTTCTTCCCCTCTGGGATGGACAGAGCTGGCGGGCCAGGTGGCACCAACCTCTTGCCGTCGAACTTGACTGTCCCCCCGCTCATCGTCTTCTGCGACCCCTTGATCCTGTACCTCTGCTTCTGATGGGCAGCTGCTCGATCGCGATGTTACGGGACCCGCGAACCAGCAAAGCTATGATGCGCGTGTACGAGAACGCGGGCGCTCCTTTCTTGGGGGGCGGGCCTGCGCTGCCACTCGCCACGGACGCTTCGTCGACCTCCACGACGATGCCCTTCCCGCCCTGCTTGCCGAACGACTTCTGGAGTTTCTCCATCTTCGCGACGATGCAGGCCCTGAACTTGCCGTACCAGCGGAAGACGCACTTCTCGCCCACTCCGCACAGCTGCGACGCTGGAGTAGCCGCGATACCTTCGGAGAAGCACACGATCAGCCCAACGATCTGTCGCAGCGAAATGCCAGAGCCACATTCCCACATGGAACCTTTCCACGCTGATACATAGCCAGAACTTCCACGGCACTTGGGACACCTGTAGTTGAGCTTCCCGTCGCGCTCCTTCAAGTCGCCCAAGCGCGCGCCGCATTGTGGGCACTGCGCCCACTTCTTCATGAAGCCCAGGTTCTGGAGCTTCTTCGCCAACTCGATCGCGTCCATGCTCAGGAGGTTCACAAGGCTATTCGGGTGGGCCTTGCTTTTCCCCTGATGTCGGTGGCCGCGGCGCTTCTGGTTGCGCTTGATCACTGGGTTCATCTGGGCCTTCGGCGTGTACGGGATGCCGGCGGGCCTCTTGAGCACCGCTGAGCTGCGCAGAGGCTTGCGCGCGCGCGGAGAGTGGCATATGGGCAAGCGCTTGCCCATTGCCCCCCCGCCGTCGCCCCCGAAGCTCGGCGACCCAGAGCGCGGCCGCGCCGCCCCGAGGCCCTGCGCCCGCGGCCTGCCCTTCAAGCCAAATGCTACGGCAAAGAATGATTCAATGTGTCTCAATTCAAGACTTGCTTCTCTGTCATTCGAAACGACTAAAAAGATTGGACCCCCCGGGCAACCCTGACGTCCTGCGGGGCGCCCGCGCCCGCAGGACGTCTTCGGCAACAATAAAAATGGAACAAGTCCTAGGCCAAACCGATCTCGCCGAACGCGCATGCCAGACAGGCCTCGCCGAGCGCAGGAGGGGATATGTGAGGAGGGCGGCGATGGACAAGAGGAGGAGGAGCGAAGCGGTGACGCGGAAACGATGAGCGAGGGGTGACAAGGCGGGGCTGCACTGTTCAAAACTGACTTGCGTTTCCTCCGTCTCAAGGTCCGTCTCAAGGTCCAGCATTCATATAAAGACTTGCACATGTTGTTTACCTCCCCAAACGATGTGCCCCCGCGGCGGCGGCCTCAGTCCTCGTCCGAGTCGATCGCCACGACGCCGTCGGCTTCGTCGTCGGAGACCCGCACGACATCGGCGAAGTAGCGGTCATCATCATCGTCGGTCTCCTCGTCGCCCTCCAGCATGTCGTCGTCCGACGGGCACGCCGTGGAGGACGTCTCGCTGGTATCGACGTCACCGCCCTCGTCGCTGTCCAAATCGGGTTCCGTCCCATCGGATTCCGCTTCGGTGTCCTCGTCGATGCTCTGGTCGCCATCGTGGAAGCTTTCGTCGTCGTCCTCGCCCTCCTCGTCCCAATCGAGGTGGATGGCGGGCGGCGCTCCCAAGTCGGGATGAATGGCGCCGAGGACGCACTGCTCCGACAGCGGCCAGAAGCCCCCCGTGTCCAGCATGCGCATGAGGCAGCCGTGGCACACGCGGGCGGCAGGCAGCGGGAAGCCTGGGGCGGGGGGCGGGGGATGGGGGGGGAAACGTGCCACGTAATATCTCAGCATATTCACGGGGGGGAGACGGGCCGCTGCCCCCGTCAAGAAAACCCAATTGCAATGCCGCCCCAACACCCCCACCCACTGAACTGCACGGCCATGGGGGCCCGTTGCTTTGCCCTGCAGAGCCGAGCGCTGGGACGCGGTCGCAGACCTCGCACTGCATTGCTCGCACTGGGCTTCCCACCGAGGTGCGCGCGACGAGTTTGAGCCTCAAGTCTAAACGACAAAAAGGAAGAGGAATGCGCTGCGATGGTGCCGATAGCGCGGCAATGGTACAATCCCCTTGAAACCCCGCATAGGAACTTTCTGGGTTATGGCTAGCTATCGGTGGGCCGCAGAGGCAAGGGCGCACGGGTGCCCGCGCACGCGATGCCCATCCTTGCAACGTGCGCATCATACATGAATACTTCTGACACATGTACGCGTCTCCCCCAAACGGTCTGGATACCCCCAACAGTAGCATGTATCCCCGAGAGAATTATGCCCTGGGATCGCCACCGAGTGTTCGGGCGACGACGTTCGGCTGCCAGGAATCGATGGAAATCCGTTGCGATGGTGTCATAAGCACGGCAATGATGCAATCCCCTTGAACCCCGCCTAGGAGCTTGCTGGGCTATGGCTGGCGCACGGTGGGCCGCAGATGCAAGGACGCGCGGGTGCCCGCGCATGCGATGCCAATCCTTGCCACGCGCGCAGCACTCATATAAAGACTTGCACAGTTTGTTCGCGTCCCCCAACGATGCGGGCACGCCCCAAAAGTAGCATGCCTTCCCGAGCGAATTCGGCTGCCAGGCGCTGCCGGACTCATCTGCTACGCATGCCCCCCCGCGGCGGCGGCCTCAGTCCTCGTCCGAGTCGATCGCCGCGACGCCTGTTGAGGGCGCAGAAGCAGTGCGGCCGAATGGAGGCGCGCAAAAGAATCGCCCGCTACAGGTTGCCAGAAGGGCCAACCGCGCCCGCGACCCAACGGGGCGCAACTCAAGCACCCGCTGGTCAACGAACGGGCGGTCCCTTTGACGCCTCGCGAGCGCCGCCCGACTTCTGCCCTCCTCGCGCCTGGGAAAAGCCCCTGAATCGTCTCCTTGTCCACGTGCGTCGCCTCGAACACCTCCCGCTTGGCAGCCCTCTCGGTCGGGCCCCGCTCGATCGGCGCGCGAGGCGACTGCTCCCGCTTGACAATGCACTCCTCCCTCTTGGCGGGCCTGCAATTCTTCAGGGCGGCGAACCCCTCATGGATCGCACCCTTCTTCAAGGCGTTGAACTCCCTGAGCGCGATGACGCCTGCCTGGTGAAGCCCCCAGAGCCGCTCGATCTCCTGCGCGGGGGCCCCGCACGGCTGCTCTTCCCCGCCCTCGCTCTCGTCCTCGTAGTCGCCGCGGTCGCCCCCGAAGCGGTCGCACCTGAAGCCGCCATCGAACGGATCGGGGGACGCCGCGCAGTTCAGCTCCCGATCCATGAGTTCCTCCAGATCCTGGGAGAGTCGCACGGCGCCCTGCTCCGCCACGACGTCAGAGTCTGGCGAGGGCCCCGCCGCGCCGTCCAGCTCACGAGCCGCGATGCGCCCCAGGGCCAAGGATAGACTGCGCGGCTTCGGCGGCTTCTTTCCGAATAGGCCCTGCTCCGCCACGTCGCAGGAGCCCTGATCGAGCTTCACCTTCTTCAACGGGGAGGGACTGCAGAGGTCGATCTCGACGGGGCCGCCCTTGCGCAAGTCGCGGAAGAAACCCGTTGAAAGCTCCCGCTTAATCGGATCCGTCGGCACCGCGGGCGCAGCGGGGGCGGCCGCGGGCGCGTCCGCTTGCTCGCCGTTCATGGAGCCGCCCAGGCCGAACGGGTCCTCTGCCCCCATCGCATGGCTCTCCTGGCCGCTCAGAACCATCCGCCCTGCCGAGCTCGACGGCGGCGGCGCGGCGGCGCCCGCGGCTGGCTCGGCCGCTGGGCCTGCGGCCTCCGCGGGGACGCCGTACTCGGCGCCGCGCTTGGCCATGATCTCCATGACCATCTTCTTCTCGCATGCCATGACCCTGTCGAACTCCTCCTCGTCGCGCTTGACCCCGCGGGCCAGGTAGGAGCGCAGCATCTTGCCCGCCTCGGGCTTGAGGTACCCATCCAGCAACGGGAGCTTCTCCACGCGGCTCTTGGCGCCAGCGAGCCTGAAGAACACGTCGTCGCGAGTGTTCAAGAACACGGTGCACCTCTTCAGCATGGCACCGACGTTGCTCTGCGGGAAATTATTCGGGAATGTCGGCCTGGGCATGTCTGTGAGGATGGCGGTCGTCTGCTGGGCGGCGTCGGCGGCAGTGGATGCCATCGCCCACTGCTGAGCTGTCGGCGCTGCACTTGCGTCGTACTCGTTCTCTCCGCCAAAACGGGCCTGGCCGCGACGTACGCCATGGCCTCCGCCTGAGTGGGGTCGAAGAAAGCGTTCAGCACCTTCGGCCTCTGCTCGAATAAGTCCCCGTCGTCGAAGATGCACGGGACCCAGCGCTGCCCGACTTCACCGCGGAAAAAATCCATGTCGGGCGTTGTCCGCACAGCGGCCACCGCGTCGGCGCGGCCAGTCGCCCTGTTCTCCGCGTCGGCGTTGTGCCTGGCGCTCGCCATGGCCATCGACATCATGTACGGTGTCTTGCCGAAATTGGCCTCGCCCACGCACAGGACGGTGTTGGTGTCCAGCGTCCCCATGGTGCGACGCGTTGCGTCCTGGTACTCATCGCGAACATCTGGGAGAAGGACTGGGTAGTAGTCCAGCTTATTGGCGAAGTGGTCGCAGTCCCGCAGTACCTTGAGGACCGCGTTGATGAGCTCCCGCCTCAACTTGTGAATTGGCGACGAATGGTCAACCAGCTCACACTCCACCCACTCCAACTGCTCGCAGTCGGCGTTTGTGCGTGGAGCTTCGTCCTTAATGTGCTGGATGCCCTCCGAGAGCTCCTTCTTCTTCTCTTCGACGCCCACGCCGCCGCCGCCAACTCTGGGCGCGGGTGCGCGCAAGAACTCCCAGTATCGAACTTGGACACCGCCCAGGCGTTAGAACAGGATCTGCATCGTGCGAGCAGAGTTGAACGTGTCCTTGCGCCAGTCCAAGACGTGCATGTTGCCGCGGACGATGCTGTCCCTCACGAAGTGGCTCTTCTCGCCGCCAATGAACTGAATCCACTTCACGATGATCGGGAGCCCGTCTGCGACCCTCAGCGTGACAGCGAGATTCATCGTACATGGTGGCTCTGCCTCGGGGTCGCTGAAGCACAACGGCGGAGGCAATTCCTTATATTTGCCTTCCGCCATAAGGTCCTTCACTTTTTCCCAGTCCGTGGCGGCCATCTCGGCGGCGTCGGCATCAGTGACGATGTCGACGACGGACTTCATGGAACCGCTGCCGCGAGCGTTCCAAGGCTTGACGGGCAGGTCGTACACGTCCACCGACCCCTTGCGGTCGAGGGTGCCGTCTATCTGCGGTTTGCCAAGAGGCGTCGCCTTTTTCATGCCCTTCGCCATATCCCACGCACCGACGAGCACGTCGCTCGTCATGCCCTCGACGCCCATGTGGACGCCGAGCGACTTCATGCCCTGGGCGGGCACGTTGGCAGCCACGGCGGCATCGCCACGGGCGGCCATCGCTTGGAACACTGGTGGAGGAGGGGGTCCACGTCAGCGCGCCTGTTGCCCGCGGGAGCGGCGGACACCTTGAGCCAAATGGCACGTCTGTCGAGGGGGCCCAGGATCCAGCACCCGCGGCTGCTAAATGTTTGTGTTTGGGATCTATCGTACCTCTGGCCAGTGGAGGCGCACGCGCGGGTTCTGGCGCTTGCCTCGCTTGCCCAAGGAATCCAAGGTCTGGCGGCGAAGGGGGCGCGGGGAATGGCAACGATGCGTTTTCTCAACAGCTACGGCTGCTCGTTTTCGCCGGCGGGTCTCTTCTGGACCTCTGGCGGTCGAAACAACAGCGCTGGTTGCGGCAGTGGCCTCTTTGCCGAAGGAATCCAATGTCTCGCGACCAGAAAATCACGGAGTGCAGCAACGATATGTTTTTCCATCAAGCACGGCTGCTTCGCTGAGGTCGCGGCTGTCGTTCGGGTCTCTGGCGGTCGGGATGCGCGCGCTGGTTGCGGCAGTGGACCGCTTGCGCAAGGAATCCAAGGTGTCGCGGCCAGAGAAACGCGGGGGGCGGTAGCGATGTGTTTTTTCATCAAGCACGGCTGCTTTACTGAGCTCGTCGCTCTAATTCGGGTCTCTGGCGGTCGAGATGCACGCGTCGGTTGCGGCAGTGGCTCGTTTGCCGAAGGAATCCAAGGTGTCGCGGCCAGACAAAAAGGATGGCTGTAACGATGTGTTTTTTTCATCGACCACGGCTGGTTTATTGAGCTCTTGGCTCTCGTTCGGGTCTCTGGCGGTCGGGGCGCGCGCGTCGGTTGCGGCAGTGGCCGTTTTGCCGAAGGAATCCAAGGTGTCGCGGCCAGAAAATCACGGAGAGCAACAACGATGTGTTTTTTCATCGACCACGGCTGCTTTATCGAGCTCGCGGCTCTCGTTCGGGTCTCTGGCGGTCGGGGCGCACGCGTCGGTGGCCGCAGTGGCCGTTCCGCCGAAGGAACCCAAGGTCTCGCGACCAGAAAACCACGGAGACCAACAACGATGTGTTTTTTCATCGACCACGGCTGCTTTATCGAGCTCGCGGCTCTCGTTCGGGCCTCTGGCGGTCGGGGCGCACGCGTCGGTGGCGGCAGTGGCCGTTCCACCGAAGGAATCCAAGCTCTCGCGGCGACAGCGACAATAATAATGAAAACGATGTGTTTTTTCATCGAGCACGGCTGCTTTATCGAGCTCGCGGCCCTCGCTCGGGTCTCTGGCGGTCGAGATGCACGCGCGGGTTGCGACATTGGCCCTTGTTTCCCAATGCGCAAGGACAGCGGGGCGAAGAGGCGGGGGGAGGGCGAGGAGGGCGAGGAAGAGGAGGAGGAGGAGGAGGAGGAGGAGGAGGAGGAGGACGACGACGACGACGATGACGAGGGCGAGACTGAGGTAAGAGCGGTGGAGGAGGCGGGAGACAATGAGGGCGAGGAAGGCATTCTTCAAGGCCTTCGCCCTCTCACACGGACCCGACGACGCCGATTACGATCGAGATGTCGTCGGGCTTGGGCGCGCTGCGCATCTGCGCACACTCGATCATGTGCTCGGCCGCGGCCCGCGGGTCGGAATCTGCGCGCGCGAGCACGAACTTCATGGCATCGTACGAGACGTTGTCAGTGATGCCGTCAGAACAGCATATAATGACGTCACGCGGGCTCAATTGGACGACGCCGTAGTCGGCCTGCGCCACGGAGCGCTCCAAGTCGTCGCCGGTCCGGTTCACGCCAGGGAAAAACGACACCTGCTTCGGGCCCATCACCTCGCCTGACTCCGTGGCGATGCGGACGTGGTGGTCTCTGGTGATGAAGAAGCGCGTGTAGCTTCCCGTGAGGGCCGACCTGCGCCACACCTGGATGGATACATCCCCAATGTGGCAGTACGACATCTTGGTGCCAGTCACCGAGAAGAAGCCGACCGTGGTAGAGCCGTGAAGCGTCGTGGTCTGGATGGCGAGATGCAAGAGCCTCGCAGTTTATGTTGTTGTGGTTTGTGCTTACTTTTGGTGTTTGGTGTGTGCGTGTGTTGTTGTTTTCGTTGTTTAGTTTTTGGTGTGTGCGTGTGTGCTGTTGTTTTTGTTTACAGGAGCCTCGCTGCCCACGACGCAGGGGCGTCCGTGGCCATGCTCCGCACGTCCCCGCCGATCTCGCGGACCACCTGGGAGTCGAACTCTTGCTTGTCGCAGGCCCAGTGGAACCGCGCGCGGAGCAGGAAGCGGAGGCAGTTCCGGAGGTCCCAGGAGAGGTCCTCCGGGTTGAAGCGGGGCGCGACGCCGCTTACTCCGTCGCACACCACCCCCCACTGAGCCGCCGCCGCCGTCATGTCGGCGTTGGGCTTGTCGAGGAAGGGGTGCTGCGCCTTGGCGGCGTGCCAGGAGGCGAGGCGGAGCATGATCGGCATTGCTGCCACGTGGGTGCGTGGAAGCTGCGCCGCGAGTTCTGCGTCGAGGCAGGCTCGGGCCAGAATAGGTTGCAACACAAAAAACGGAGTTGGCGTGGATGAGGAAGGAGGGGCGAGAAGGCGGGAGCGAAGGAGATAGGAAGGCAAGAAGAGGGGGCGGACCAGGGCAGAGGGACGAACCGCGGAAGCGGAGGAGGACCAGGATAAGGATCAAACAGTCGTGCTGCGCTCCTTTGGAGCATTTCGTCTGTTGTTTGCCTGGGATTGTTTCGCTTCCGACTGGTGTGAGCTTTGCGCCCCCCTGGAGCATTTCGCCCCGTATCTGGCTGGAGCATCTCGCCCCCGCGTGATCTGGAGCATTTCGCCCCTACGCGATCTGGAGCATTACGCCCCTTGGAGCATTTCGCCCCGTATCTGGCTGGAGCATTTCGCCCTTGCGCGATGTGGAGCATTCCGCCCCCTGGAGCATTTCGCCCCGCACCTGGCTGGAGCATTTCGCCCCTATGTTATCTGGAGCGCTACGCCCCGCCTTCTCTCCCGTCAACTGTAGTTTGGGGGCGGTGGTAACTTAAACTACTCCGTGCAATAGCTGCGCTTCATCTGTGCTTCACATTCACCTCGGGCACACGACGCAAGTGGGACAAATGAGGAAGGGGGACAACGGAGGGGAAGGAAGATAACGAGGAAGAAGGGAGGAGGAGGAGGGATGACTGGAACAGGGCACGGTGTGAACTACATGGTCGCACCCCCCGAAGATCTGGCTTTTTGGCGGGTTCTGAGATGAACCTTCGAGTTGTCTGTCTGTCCTCGCCGCTTCCTCGCCCCTTCCTCGCCAGGATTGTCCTCGCCCCGCCCTCGCCTGCAACCTCCCGCTAACCTGGCCAGGCGCTTTTTTTTTCTGGTCTGGGAGCTCACAGAACCTGGCCAGGCGTCGTTGTTTTATGGTTTTTCTGGTCTGGGAGCCCACAAAACCTGGCCAGGCGTTTTTTTTTTGGGGGGTCTGAGGGTTCAGAAAACCTAGCCAGGCGTTGGTTTTTCTGGTTTTTCTGGTCTGACGGCAGTCGTTCGCAAACCCCCAACCTCCAGGCCAGGTTTTGTGGGCTCCCTGACCAGAAAAACCACAACAAAAACAACGCCTGGCCACGTTTTCTGAGCCCCCATACCAGAAAACACAGAAAACAACAACGCCTGGCCAGGTTTTCTGAGCTCCCAGACCACAAAAACCAGAAAAACCAACGCCTGGCCAGGGTTTCTGAGCTCCCAAACCAGAACAACCAGAAAAACCAACGCCTGGCCAGGTTTTCTGAGCTCCCAGACCAGAAAAAACAGAAAAAACCAACGCCTGGCCAAGTTTTCTAAGCCCCCAGGAGGAGGAGGAACGGGAGAAGGAGGAGGACGAGAGAGAGAGAGAAAGAGAGACAGAGAGAGAGAGAGAGAGACAGAGAGAGAGAAGAGACAGAGACAGAGAGATAGAGGGATAACGGAAAAAAGGGTGGGGCACCGAGGTTGAAGGAGGGAGATCAAAGGATGGTCTTGGGCAAACCACCGCGGCTGTGGGCAACGATGTTCAGCGAAGCCTTTCAAAACGATCGGTCTCAAGACAACACAAAAACGACGGGAACGTTCAGAAACCGAGACGCCGCCTAGGGGGCCGCCTTGGGCTGTCTTGGGGCGCTGCTGATGGGTGCCTCTTTGGCCGTCCTGGTACGTCGGAGGGCCGAGGATCAGAACGGAAAAAACACACAGACAAAATTAATCGTCGATGCCACAGAAAACATCGGAAAATATGGGAAGTGGGGGGGAAGACGAAGACCCCCCCAAAATAGAGAAAAATATGGGGAATATGTTTATTTGTGTGTGTTGCCCCCGCGGGCCAGCACAGCACAGGGATGCGCCCTGCCCCCAGCGGACGTGGCAGACAAGGCACATGCGACCGGCCAGCACGCCCAGACCGACGGCACCGACCGCGACCCCCAGAAGGGGCACTTCCGTCCTCCTCCTCCTCCCTCCTCCCTCCTCCTCCTCCTCCTCCTCCTCCTCCTCCTCCTCCTCCTCCTCCTCTTCCTCCTCCTCGTCCTCCTCCTGCTCCTCCTCCCTGCTCCTCCTCCTCCTCCTCCTCCTCCTCCTCCTCCTCCTCCTCCTCCTCCTCCTCCTCCTCCCTCTCCTCCCTCCCTCCCTCCCTCCCTCTCCTCCTCCTCCTCCCCTCCTCCTCCTCCTCCTCCTCCTCCTCCTCCCCCTCCCTCCTCCTCCTCCTCCTCCTCCTCCCCTCCTCCTCCTCCTCCCTCCTTCCTCCTCCCTCCTCCCTCCTCCTCCTCTCCTCCTCCTCCTCCTCCTCCTCCTCTCCTCCTCCTCCTCCTCCTCATCTCTCCTCCTCCTCCTCCCTCCTCCTCCTCCTCCTCCTCCTCCTCCATCTCCTCCTCCCCTGCCGTGGCGCAGACAGGAGCAAGGCGCACCAGAGGCCAGAAGGGGAACATGTGGATTACGAGCCGTGCGTTCGTCAGACTCCCCTGCCCCCCAAAGTTCCCCAGCTTCGGGGCGAACAGAAGCATGCATCTCACATCGCGGGGCGCGACGTGGGAAGTTGAGCGACCCAGTTTTATGTCTAAGTCGGGCATGTCCCCCTTCAGGCGGCATATTGAAAATAGTCCAGAAATCGTATGGAGACGATTCCCTCGTATGTTGCTACTACCGTTGACGATTGTGTGACCATGCTTGGCAGTTCCTCCCCAATCCGCCTGTGGGAGGTCAGGCCCGACCTCACTTCATGCTATGCCGTCCTTTTTGGCTTTCCCAAGGCGAGGGGGCCCTGCCAGACCTCCCGGGCCTCGCGCGCGCGGTGGCGGCGTCCAGGCCGTTCGACGCGCGGGCGGCGGGGCCGCTGCTGAGCCTGCTTCCGAGCAGCTGCGCGGGCAGCTTCTTCCAGGTGGACGGTTTCTCGGAAGGGCTTAGGCGACCCGGCCTCCTCTTCCTCCTCTGCCTCCTCCTCCTCGCCCTCTTCCTCCTCCTCCTCGCCCTCTTCCTCCTCCTCCTCCTCCTCCTCCTCGTCCTCCTCGGGTCGCCTACGGCCCCGGGGGAAACCGTGCACTTCCAGGAGAGGGACGAGGTGGGCAACGCCCCGCTGCACGCCGCGGCGGTGTCTGGCAGGGTGGCCGGGGAGCGTCACAGTGTCCGCGGGAAGAGAGGGTACTCCAGATTTCGTAATAAAGGGAGGGGGTTCTCATTTCGGGGGGGGGTCTCTTCCAGGCTATCTTGGAGGGCCTGGGGGGTCTGGGGACGATGTTTTGGAGGGTTCTCCCACGGGGGAGGTCTGGAATGGCTTGTCTTGGAGGGCCCAGACCGCCTCCCTTTTATTACGAAATCTGGAGTCTGGACCATCCAAGACAAGCCATTTCAGACCTCCCCCGTGGGAGAACCCTCCAAAACATCGTCCCCAGACCCCCCAGGCCCTCCAAGATAACCTGGAAGAGACCCCCCCCGAAATGAGACCCCCCTCCCTTTATTACGAAATCCGGAGTAGCCCTCCACGTGCACGCAGGCGCTGCTGGCGCCAAAAAGAAGTTTCGTTCCTTATGTCGCGCTCCTCATGTCAGCAGCCATTCTGCATTGGTATTGGTGCCTTACTTGTCCCCAGACGGGGGGCGCCAGCTGGCCTTTCTGATTCGATGCGGTTCGATTCGCCGGCTGGGTCCGAAATTCTGATTCGATTGGATTCGGCCGGATTCACCGGCGTCGGTTTGGGCCAGCCGGAGTTGAACTCGGCGATCAGGTTTCGATTCGATTCGGGCGATTCCCGTTCGAGTCGATCCGATTCAGTCCCGATCAGATGTTGCGATTCGATCCAGTTCAAGTTTGCTAGGAGTCAATCAGTGGTGGGGCGTCTTCGCTCGCCGATAGGCCCGCCAAATAATATGATACGACTCTTCTCTGTGAGTTGCGTAACACGCTTTAGAACATGTCTGACTAAGCCCGTCTTGTTTTCATGCGCCGGCCTTAAGCTCTAAACTGATAGCGTTTTCATGATTGACATCTTCTTGCGCTCTAGGAACATGTTGTGGTTAGGCCTACAGGAATGCCGGGACAGTCGGTCCCTCAGGGGCACCGATGGGGGGGGGGAAGTGCCTCAGGGGAGATGCATCGACCCTCGCCCAGTGATCGCCAATGGGGGTCATGAGGCCCCTCCCGCCCAGAGGCGTGCGGTTCCGCTGTCGGGGGCCTGCCTCGCGATCTATCGGCGTTGTATCGCCGCTTCCAGGTTGATGTCCTCCCCCCCTGTGCCAGTCCCCCTCTACCCTCTACCGTTGCCCCCTTAGTTCGACTGGACGTAAGGGTGACATTTCGCCGTAGTGACCTCTGGTGTGGGCCATAATGGGGCCCCCGGATCGTTGAACACGAAACGGTAGCAGCGGCTTGCGCGCCTGGGTTTGGCCACCCCGCGTCCCCCGCCAAGTCGCGCACCGAAGGTCACTCTTGCATATTCTGGATGCCATAATCCTGGGGGGTGGCACATTCGGGGGGGCTCTGATTTGAGCTGTCTTGGAGGGCTCGAGGGGGTCTGGGCAAAAGGCCGCCCTTCCATGGCTGGTCTGTGGGGGGTGATAAAATTGCTCGTGTGGGAGGGTTGTGACCCCCTTTCCCTTTCATTACGAAGTCTGGGGTAGGGCCACTCAATGAGTCCTTGCACAAAGGCCCGGCGCACGCACCACCCATCCCGGGCACCCCTGGCGGCCCCGCAGCCGTGGGCGCCACAGGTGGGCGACGTGCTGGCGCTGGCCCGCGCGCACCTGCCGCAGGCGGAGCTCCGCGGCCTGTTCCTCGCGAGGAACAGCCAAGGCGCCCGTGGGGGGGGGGCAGTCGGACTGGCGGGGTGAGCGTATTGTTTGTCCTCCCCAGGGCAGCGCTCGTGGATTGCCCGCCCCCCTCCTTCCCGGGTAGCGCTAAGAATCGTACCGGGGGGGGGAGGCTGGACCCTTCGCTCACATGCACATGCTGTGGTGCACGCAGACGATTGTTGCGCCGGTCGCGCGGGCGCACCCTGGCGGGTGCACGCCGCGGCCGCCATTACCGTCACCCGCCCGCCCGCCCCCCCCCGCATCGTAAGGATGAGCGATGTTCCAAGCATGCCCTTGCACCCTCTCCTTTCGGCCCATCCTTAGCCGCTTTCGCGGACCGCACCCCGCTCACAGAGTGTCGACAGGGCCTTCCAGGGCCCTTGCATCCTTACCGTGCGCCCTTAGTTTACGGGCTGGCTGCAGGGGGGAGGGGGGAGGCTCCTCAGGAGCAGGCTGCTCCTCAGAGGGCGCGGGCCCGATGATGCGGACGCGGGGCCCGCGCCTTCCGAGAGGCGGCCTCCTGCTGAGAGGCCTGCCCCCCCCTCCCCCTGCCCCCTCGTGCGCGCCGCCCATCGGGGGCGGCCGCACGCGGGGGGCGATGACTACCCATCGGTCGTTGAAAGTAGGTATTTCTGGATTCCCAGATTCCAATCTATTTTCAGCGCCTTCCTACTTCAAGAGTCGAGTGGTTTTCCCTCTTCCCTCCTCTTCAGGAGGCGGGCGGAAACCCAATCTATTTCCAACGCCTTCCTACTTCCTGTTTCTACCTACTTCTTCCGACCGATGGGTAGGGGCGGGGGGGCGGGGTATGTCAGGGCGGGGGCCATGATTCAGCAGCGCAAGAAGGACGTACACGTACATGAATCCGCGCTGATTTCGAGAGCTCGCACTGCATGGATGTTCGTATCACGCGGCGGGTCTCGCGGGTCAAGGGGCCGTGTTCATGTACGTAGCTGGGCACGTACGCCCTTTGCGGGCTCCTTAATGATGGCTCCCCAGCGGAGCGACGCCAGACAACAGAAGCCGTCTGCGCCGCCGCCCGCGCGCAAGCTGCACGCGTGCGCGCTCGCGCGTGCGCGCCCGCGCCTCTCGGCGCGGCGCGCGGCGTGACGCGCCGGCGGCCCGCGCAAGCCGCCGCGCAAGGACGCCACGTCTTTTTGCGTGTTGCTTTTATTATGCTTTATATATACACATGTATATATATATGTGTCTCTTATATATATATATAACAAAAAACAAAACACGCCCAGGTTCGGCGAAGAGAACTATGCACATGCACCGATCCTGACAGCGCCCATCCTTGACCCAGGACCCGTGCATGTACCTTCCTGGCCGAGGTGGGAGGGCGTACGCACCGATCCTGGGCTCAGGATGGTCCTGGCCAGGATCGGTGTATGTGCACAGTTCTTTTTCCTCTACAGGTGGCACTGCACCTGGTCTTGGCGCCTCCCCCGCCGCCCCCCCCCCCCCCTCCTGGGCCGCGCACGTGCCTCGGGACCTGCTCTGCGAGCCCTCCTCGTGGGGTTGCCGCCCTCTCTCGGGCACCCTCGAGAGGAGAGCGCGCCGCTGCCGGGCTGCGTCCCCCCCTACCCTGACGTCGGGCACGTCCCTTTACAGGAGCCAAACAGATATTCAAATCGTCTGGGGACGATTGTCCGATCATTCTTGACCATGTCAAGCATTTGTTTACTACGTGTTATGTTTCGTCCAGAATCCGCCCGAAGGAAGACACGCGCCCAACCGACCCCTACCCCCTATGCTATGATACGCCAAACCGAGTTCACTGAGGCAACGCCCCCCCAGAAGGAGGAGGACGGAGGTGGAGAGGGAGGAGGAGGACGAGGTGAGGGAGGAGGAGGAGGAGGAGGAGGAGGAGGAGGAGAAGGAGGAGGACCCTTTCCCAGACCCCCTCGACTCGTGAGAAAAGTCATGATAAGCGGTGCTGCGCTACTTTCGGTCTCTCGGGCCCTCCGATGACGATCCCGGGGGAGAGAAAAGCTGTGGAAAGGCGTCCAGACCTCAAGAATCATGATGATGATGAGGAGGAGGAGGAGGAGGGGGTGGAGGAGGAGGAGGAGGGGGTGGAGGAGGAGGAGGAGGAGGAGGAGGAGGAGGAGGAGGACGACGTCGGGGGCCTGGGACTCGAGGGAACGAGTACAGGTGAAGGCGCGCGGATTCGCCACGGGTCCCGTTTCCGAGCAGAAGCGGCGCGCTGGCAAATGAGGCGGCATTGGCCGCGCGTGTCAGGGAGGTGCCGTCCCTGAGCCGTGGATACGGCGCCCACGCGCCATATCCACAGCTCCCCGATGAATCCTTGCTGGCGCGTGCCCGACCCGTGTGTCCCCTCGAGTTCCCTTCCTCTCTCTCTCTCCCCCTGCAGATCCCTTCTGCCGTCCCTCCCTCCCCCCCATCCCTCCTACCAGTCGGGGGTGGACAGAACCCCCAACAGTGACACGTCGATTAGTGCTTTGTCCGTCTTCGGCTCACGAGAGGGCGCCGTGGCCGTCATTTTCCAGGCTTGCGCCCGCCAGGTCTGGGCCGCAGGTCGTTTTCACTAAACCACGTTTTACTAAAGGGAGGTCTGTCCATCCCCGAACCAGTTCTCCGACCCTTCCTCCGATACCTCCCCGATCCCCGCCCCCTCCCCCGACCCCTCCTCCGATCCTTCGTCCCGCCTCCTCCTGCCCCCCTCTTGTGTGCCTCTCTGCCCCCCCCCCCCTCCCCGTCTGGCCCTCGCCGCCGCGACCGGGATCCGCCCCGCCTCCTCCTCCTCCTCCTCCTCCTCCTCCTCCTCCTCCTCATCATCATCATCATCATCATCACCACCAGCAGAAAGAGCGTGTTCTGCCGCTGTTGGCAGAACACCGGGGGGGTCACTGGGGGTTTCAAACCCGTCCTCCCCCGGCCCCCCCCCTCTTCGACAACCAGGGGGGGACAAAGTCGGGAAATGCACAGGGGATGCATGTCCCAAGCGATGGCGAGACTCCTGGAAGGTCCGATTCGGCATCGGCGCTGGCAGATCCGTGGTCAACAGCGGGCAGATCCGTGGTCGGAAAACGGGCCTCATCCGGCCGAATCCCGCCTGATCTGGTTGCATCCTAGGCTCGATCTGGGCCGCTCTGGCTCGGCGGCCCCTCCATCGGGCGACTCCGTAGCCCAGGGTCGGTCTGAGCAGCCCGGAAGCATTCTCGCGAAGGTCTGCACGAACGAGATGGGTACGGAAAGAATGGATACAATGCCCAACAGCAGTTCTTGTTCATTTAGAACAGGACTCGCTGTCCACGCCGCCGCGGCCTTTGTCCATTCGAGACAGAAAGCCGCCTGCCCAACAGCGGCCGCTGTTGGTTTGGGACAACATTTGTTGTTGGGCATTGTACCCATTCTTTCCGTGCCCATTTCGGGCGTCCTCCCAACGCTGCCTCCCCCGCGCGAGGACACCCGCCGATGCACTGCGCCGCGGAGGCCGGGCGGCCCGAGGCGGTCCGGGGGCTGGCCGAGGCGCTGGAGCCAGACGAGCTGGCCGCTGCGCTCGCGGTGATCGGCACGATCGCAAGGGGTATACGAAGAGCACAGGTCGAGGGCTCGCTGTCAGCGTCGCCGGCCGCCGGCCCAACGGCGGCCGCTGATGGTCTGGGGCAACACTCGTCGGTGGGCATCGTGCCCCGTTCTTCCCTCATCCATCCCGGGCGTCTAACGGTGAGAGACGCAGAGAAAAGGGTCGTCTTCACCGACATTGGCGCGTAAGCTCCCCGCGCAAGGTCGCGCGTAAGCGCCCCCGTCTCCAGTGTAGCGTGCCGCGTTGGCGGCCCACGCAAGGTCGCTGCGTCATCTAGCGTAAGACTTAAGACCCGTTTTTGATCGTCGCTCAGGTGACGGCCGGGCACCGCGAGCGGACGCCGCTGCACCTGGCCGCCAGCAACGGGCACGCGGAGACCGTCCGGGTCCTGGCAGGCCTGGCGCCCGACCTGCCCACCGCGCTCGCGCTGCCGGACAGCGTCGGGAGGACGGCCCTGCACCTGGCCGCGGGCAGCGGGGACGCGGAGGCCGTGCGGGCCCTGGCGGGGCTGGCGCCGGACTTGCCCGCGGCGCTGGCGGCAAGGTCGCAGTCGGGGAAGACGCCCCTGCACGCCGCCGCCGACTGGGGGGAGGTGGATGCTATCCTTGCTCTGGTCCAGCTGGCGCCCGACGTGCCCACCGTGCTCGCGGCGAGGACGAGCGACGGGAGCGCGCCCCTGCACCTGGCCGCCAAGAGCGGGCGGGTGGACGCCGTGCGCGCCCTGGTGGAGCTGGCGCCCGACCTGCCCGCCGCGCTGGCGGCGAGGACGGGCGACGGGCAGACGCCCCTGCACCTGGCCGCATCCAGCGTGAGTGCGGAGGCCGTGCGGGCCCTGGCGGAGCTGGCGCCCGACCTGCCCGCCGCGCTCTCCGCGAGGGACAGCCAGGGGATGACGCCCCTGGACTGCGTCGCGGCGGCGGAGTGCTGCGGGCCGCGCGACGTGGCTCGGCGCCACCAGCTCGCAGAAGAGCTGCGGGGGCTGGGCGCGCGGCCGGGCGGCGAGGTCGGCGCCCCCTTCGGGCCGCCGTCGCGCCAAGGCAGCCCCACGGGCCTCC